CTACACTACACTAACAGCACTGATATACTACTGAAATGCATCTGTGGCAATTTTTTATTTATTTTTATTTTTGATTATGCAGACATTAACGTATAGCATTTGCACTTAGCAGCAGGTTTTCACAGTTTTCTCCACTTTTTTTCTTTTCTGCTGAGAACAGGAACTGATTGCATAAAACTTGTAGGTGTTTGTATGATGAAATTGCACAACCACAGTCATGGCCTTTCAGTGCAGCCTCACACATTTCACCACAGAGCACCAAGAAAACACGCTCTCACAAAATGAACACTGCCATTGGCTAAACCAGATTTCTCTGTGGTGGTTTCTTCAGCTACAGTTTAGAATCAACAACAGGAAGTAGCTGCTGCGGTTAAACATGCAGGACTTGTTTCATTGCATTAAAGGATAATTGTTGTATTTAGTGTGAACATTCATACTGCTAACAGCTTTTGCATATCAAAACCAGACACATTTTGGCTGCTAATGGATTTATTACCCAGTTATTGCATTGCCAAATGCCCAAACACACCAGATCAAATTTGGCCCAAACAAAACCACCAATACCAAAACTCCCCATTTTCATTTATTTACTTAGGTGGAGTTGGAGCTACCACACCGTCAAATATGCCTGCAAGAGTCAACTCTGTCCCCTGGTCTCAATTTTGGATTGAGATGGGTTGTGTGTTTTAATAAATGTTTTATTAGCTGTTTCTTTACCTTTAACTGATCAAAGGAAGTAAAAAATCAATAATCGGTATGACCAAAGTCATTCTCCATTCTCCATTTCGTTGTGTTGTTCTATTCAGGTATGCTTGTACTGCATCCGCAGTGTGAAATGAAGCTGTTGCCAATTGGATGCTTTCCAGATGGTATTGCATGGTGGATCAAAATCCACTTACTTTTCTGTGTTCATAATTCTTTTGGCGGTCACAGGCTAGTGCTGATGTCAAGTCTACATAAATGGAGAGAACGGCATGGGGAAGCGGACCCAGTGCAATTAACCATTTTGATCTTTAAGAATGAGCACACCAGATCGGTCAGGATTAAACATGACTGCCTCTGGTACTGTTGGCTACAGAATGCAGGGGAAAAATGTGCTATTGTTACCCAAAGACAAAGGAAGAGGAAAGGGTGAGAGGTAGTGAACGTGGCTGAGTTTGAATACTTGTGCACTACATTGTCAGCTTACAGGCTTATTTTATCTTCTGTATTTTCTGTTTTAACTCCTTCAATATCTACATTTTGACGACTTTGAAGTAGATCTAAGATTGATGGACTCTGATGCTTAATGAATAAACTGCAATATGATATTAGAATGTTATCACACAGTTTATCGGGGGGAAAGTGTGATTTTAAGCTTTTAACCAGCTCTTAGTTTTGTTTAGTCGGCTCTTGACTCTCTCCAGAGACAGGAAGGTAAAAAGACTAATCTGATGACAATAATTAATGGAAAGGATATCAGGACAAATTAAGAATTTTTATGCATGCTTCTGACTTCTGTTCAGTACATGAGATGTGAGGCGAGGAGGAAGACAACATTTTATTAGCATCCTTGACATTTTAATTTCTTTGCTAAAGAAACAATGCTAACTTGTCTGCTGTCTGTTCTAATGTTAGCATTTAGCTTAAAGCAAAGGACCAGTTGTTGGTTGTAGAAGTGAACTATGATGGAGACAAGACGCAGCTGTACCTCTCATCTTTGAATTGTTTTGCTTCTCTTTGATGATGATTTCTGCATAGCTGGTGTCTTCAGATGTCACTG